TTTACGGAAACGGAAGAATTAGCACATGACATTGAGTTAACTCAATCAAATCGGTTGCGTTATATAGCAGCTTTCATTAGGTTATTACTATTCATGATCTGTATATCATGGCGGAGTTACAATGTTCCTTGGCAAGCGTCCGCGAATTTGTGGATAAATGTAAGGGAAATTCACAGAAACAAACATTAATGTCAGTGAGTTCGTCTTTTTGTATTAACAAGATTCAAGATGGCGCCATGTATATCTATCGATTGCCGATAGATTTTGTTCATGGATTTTAAGAGGTACATGTATTTTGTATTTTATTGTGCTAGTATTGAAATGTGTTCTCATTTATTGTCTGTTTATTTCCATTATCTATGTCACCTAATGTATTGTTGTGCTATATTTTGATATGATGTGCTGAATAAAGGAATTGTTCAATATTCGATCATCTTTTTTTTCTACCCTCATAGACATACCTATGTCTCGAATACATCGACAAGTCGAATTTATTACTTGGTCCCCAGCGATTCGACTCATCGGGATTTGACTGTACTTGAAAAATCCGGGCCAGACAGCCAATTGAGAATAAGTGGCAATTTTAAGGTGGGCTGGGTCGCCGCCGAGGCGGTCGAACCCAGTTCATGCCAGCTACGGAGCGATGTACGAGAGGATGCTGCCTAGGCAGAGCACCATCGAACGAGGTGTGAAACGTGGAAATAGCCATGGAGTACCCGAGAATGGTGGAGGTCATAAGGCTCTCAACCAAAACGAGGTTATAGTAACTACAATATCCGAACTAAATCCGCAGAATAGGGATTATGAAATCCCCTATGTGCACACCAGTAGCCCACCTATCAACACACTGAAAGGGTGTCGAATCCCGCCTCGAAGCCAGAATTGTGTCTGCAACGGTTGCAGGAATTCCGCGTATCTGGGCGTTATACCCGACAGAGGCCAAGCCACCCAGTGAATCCGAGGATTCGGGTGTGGCGCCCCGTTCAGAGTGAGAATGTCTGGCCGAAAAGGTAATTCGAATCCCGGCGTGCGGGATCGAACACCAGCCTGACTGCTGTCAATTCCAGCACATTGTCAAGAGACTGCAGGTCGCCCAGAACATCGCCCTAACCCGGTAGGGATGTATCTGGCTGGACTGAGAGCGACGGTGTCTCCAGGGGGGGCCCCTCGGAGAGACGCCTGATGTCTGTCCATCTGACTGCGTGAGTTTGACAATTCCGCCCAGTTTCGTAAGATTGACCAACACTGATCGTGAGGTCCCCAGACTCAACAGTTATTCTAAAACCACGATGAGCCAGTCGCCTAGGTACGGGTGACAACACCGGCACTGCGATCTGGCTATCTGAGCTGTAATAAACCTCAATTTGGTGAACACCCTTGGCGCCGTAATGTAGCCTAAGGGGAGCACACGAAACTGGTAGCGCGTCCCGTCAAACAAGAACCAAAGGCAACCAGCATGGTGGTTTCCAATGGTCAGGAAATTGTGGGGTTTGACTCCATTTATTTCATCGTTGCCATTAAGAACGGAATGTTCAGACCCATTCTCATCTGAGAGCTGAACGAGTTAATAGAGGTACTGTCCTTCAAGATGGAGACACCGCGCTCGGTGATCTCATCTGTCGACAGGGGATTGGCGCACGTCAATTGACCTCGAGGTCGCATACCTCCTTGTTCCATTGCACCCTGATTTCAAGATTTACCTTGCCCAGCAGAGACTGGATCTCGGCACGGAGTATTTTCGCCGTCTCCCGGGAAGCAGACACTGGAGTGTGTCGCTCCAACCAGGGTTTGCGGCAGAATACAGTAAACCCCAGCAGTCGGCAACTTAACGTTTGCCGGTGCCTGGGCACCTGAGGAATTAACGAGAAGCTCGACAGACTTCCGTATTCCTCGAAACAGTCCCGGGCATCATAGGCCCATAACCGCACTCATCATTTGGCTGGCACAGCTACAATGCAGTCCCTAGCCAGATGAGAGTCGCCGACGAAAAAATACCACCGGGGCTCTCTCCCCTTTCCACCAGCTCCCTCAGCAGAGCTGAGAGATGCGCCGAGTGGAGCATACAGCGTTGAGCTGTTAAGGGGAAAGAACGGCAGACTGACGGTAGAGTGTGAGGCCTTGTCCCGGATGCCTTGCTGGAAGCAGGCTTCCCTCCAGGAGGCGAACTCCAACGGTTCGGGTATTCGACGTGGACAACACCTGAGGCAACACAGCCGCGATTCTATCTCGCACTTGCCTCAGGGACGAACCTACTCAGTGGTAAGTTCAAAGTAGCTCAAATCGACTTGTCCAATGTACGAGCCTGAACCCCGGTTCCGAGGCACATGTGAGAAGCCTGACAAATCAAGGTTTCCCAAGCACTCAGACAGACCTCGGAGCGTCGAGGTGAACTACCGGCGCCGGGAATCTGCGCCCTACCAGTGTCGAAGCCTGGGTCGGTGCTACTCACGGGGTTCAGAGTATCCGCGGAGCCAAAGCTCAGCGGTTCTAGACCGAACCCCGATCCCGAGACACGTAGGAGTAGCCTGATAAATCAGGTTTCCCCAAGTACTCTCCAAAAGCGCACTGAGCATATAGTCAAACATAGCCTATAGCGCTATATAAATACCCATACATACACATACATACACATATATGGATATACATACACATATATGTGTATATATATATACATATATATATATATATATATATATATATATATATACGTAAGTGCTCGGGTTGGCGGTGTGAGTGCGAACCCTGATCCCGAAACACATGGGAGTAGCCTGACAATGCAGGGCTCCCCTGGTGTACACAGGTAGATCTCGGTGCGTCGAGGTGATCGGTAGCTCCGTCACACTCAACGGTCTCTTGGCCAGGGCATCGATAAACATCAGGCCGAGACCTGAGCTAACAGCGCTGGGGATCTGCTCGTGCGGGCGAAGCCCAGGTCGGTGCTAGTCCGATCTGCAGTCCTGAGACACAAGGGAGTAGCCTGGCAATGCAGGGTTCCCCTGGTGTACACGGGTAGACCTAGGAGCGTCGAGGTGATCGGCAGCTCAGTGGAACCCAGACCGGGGCGCCGAGAGGAACCTGCCGATACAGGTTTCCCGGGCAACCCCGACTGACCACTAGGCGCCGAGGTGTCCCCGAGCTGGTCGGCGCCGAGGGTGAAACCTGCATCGCCCGTGCCAGGCGCCTGTGACGAACCTGAGCCCGAAGCTAGGTCGCCACAAGGTGCCGAAGGCACATCATCACCTGAGCCGAAGCCAGGATCAAGCTGCCTGGGAGGGGGGCGCGTTCTCCGAGCCAGAGCTCGGGCCGCAGCCAACCCCCCCAGATGCGTCCGATCCACCCTCGACGACAGGCGTGCTGAGCTCCTTGCGGACAGCACCTGGACCATCAAGATCAACACGTTGCGAGCCGAGCTCCTAACGGAGCCCGGACATCGCGCTATCAATCATCGACTTCACATTAGTCATCTGCCGAAGCATATGTTGCTGAAATAGTGAAGCAATTGAGTCAATATTTAAGGCAGCAACATTGTTTGCGGGGGAACGATAAAGGGATTTCCTTAGAAACCTTTCTTAAACTGCAACAAACAGAACCACGCCAGTGATACTAGCAGGAACTGTGAAGCAGCAAACATATAAACACAAGTAAATAGCAAGAATAACCCGCAGACGAACGAGCGATATTTAAATGCTACAAGCTACAGCCATTTAAATACTAAACATACAATGCAAAGCAGAAAAAAGGCTAGCCACACCTGTGTGTACATACTAGTGATAGAGTAAAGTTGAGTGATACGAAACGAACACTATCAAAATTACTCAACAACGACTTACCACAAATTCGGGCTGAAAAGAAAGAGAATTTAGGCAAGCCTACCATATAATATGCAAACATAATATATGAACTCCCTACTACAAGCTACCAAGAACATATAGCAAGGAAACCACGATCGCGGTCCGCCATTTTGCCTGCCACATGGCTGGAAAACAGAGAACCCACGGCAAAGTTACAACAAAAGATGAATGAGAATATCAACATATGACGCCCATCTAACGCCTGTCGCGTGAGAGAAAGGAACCATACATACAGATTGAGACTCTTTTACATTCATCGTTATCGGTAGGAGAGCAAACTCGAACGAACACCACGCATCGCCTATTCAACAGAACGACAGCATGAAAAGTGAGGTATGAGGAAGACGGCGAGAGTTACCTGCTCTTGGCTGTAGGGGGTCCGGTGGGGCCCTGTAGGGGTGGTCTCACAAGACAAAAACGAGTTTTTTGTTTTGTAAATATTTAATTAAAAAATATAGTTACAACTGTCGTAGGATTTAAAATGGACATTTAAATGCTTATATGTACCCCAAGGAGGACTTCTTCTGAAAAAGAATTGATAAACAAACACAATATGTGCAAAGCAAGCTGGAAGAACATGGTTTAATGCACGAAGGGCATTTGGGGTGAGGATCAGCCACGGATAGCCTGTGCCTGCAAACACTGCAAGACTTCATGAAATGTAAACAAGTTACATTACAATGCAAATATGTCACAAATACAAATAATTCCTTCAAAACTTTTACATATAATACAAAGTAAAACCATACACAGCATAATTTCAAAGAAAATGGGATCTAAATAAAAAGGATATAATGACGCATATGGGACTCCAGTGCTCGCCCAACCATCCGCTTGGGCAAAAAGGGAGAGAGTGACCAGTAAGGCTGGTCACATGACTGTTTAAGCGGGAAAAGGGAGGTAACTCGTGGGTGAGTGTACTTTTACGTCCGCTATGGGAACTTCAAAGGATTCAAGTGTTCCACTACCATTCGCATAGGAAAGGGAGATAAGCAAGAGATCATGAGTCAGGATAAGGAAAAATTATGGTTTGTATTGTCAGGTACATGATGTATATGGTTTGTGTTGACAGACACAAAGTTAAGAGGTGTTTGTATTGACAGACACACAACAATGGTGCATGTGTTGTTTTGGATAGAGGATGCTTACCAATTTCCATCGAGTGAAGCATCTTTTGACAGCAAGGAAGCTGTTCATCTCATCTGCCAGCTGATGCTTTTCCTCCATTACAGCTGATGTGTGTTCCCTCCATGACACCAGCACCTTCCTACAGGAGACAACATAGTCGGTATATAGCGGTGTACAACAAACCATCACAGCTAGTGCCTCCCCTCCATGACACCAACACCTTCCTACAGGAGACAACATAGTCGGTATATAGCGGTGTACAACAAACCATCACAGCTAGTGTCTCCCCTCCATGACACCAGCACCTTCCTACAGGAGACAACATAGTCGGTATATAGCGGTGTACAACAAACCATCACAGCTAGTGTCTCCCCTCCATGACACCAGCACCTTCCTACAGGAGACAACATAGTCGGTATATAGCGGTGTACAACAAACCATCACAGCTAGTGCCTCCCCTCCATGACACCAACACCTTCCTACAGGAGACAACATAGTCGGTATATAGCGGTGTACAACAAACCATCACAGCTAGTGCCTCCCCTCCATGACACCAGCACCTTCCTACAGGAGACAACATAGTCGGTATATAGCGGTGTACAACAAACCATCACAGCTGGTGCCTCCCCTCCATGACACCAACACCTTCCTACAGGAGACAACATAGTCGGTATATAGCGGTGTACAACAAACCATCACAGCTAGTGCCTCCCCTCCATGACACCAACACCTTCCTACAGGAGACAACATAGTCGGTATATAGCGGTGTACAACAAACCATCACAGCTAGTGTCTCCCCTCCATGACACCAACACCATCCTACAGGAGACAACATAGTCGGTATATAGCAGTGTACAACAAACCCTCAATGTTCTGGAGTAGGCTGTCAGGAGACAGTTTGTGTAGTGTGTAGATTCAATAGGAGTCACCGAATGTCCCATTATCTGCAGACCAACCTCAAGAGGTGTTCCTTGTGGTGAGTGACAGCCTGCTGCTGGTTCCGGTGGGCCATGAGCACCAGCTTCTGAAGCGGCCTGATGCCGCGGTACTTCATGATGGACCGGGTGTAGTGAGCCTCGGCCACTTGTGTCAGCTCCTTTATCTTCTCCAGCTGGTGCTGCTTCTCCACCTCACGCTGGAAGGAACAGAGAAGACATTACTTGCCATGTCCACAATCAGGCTGTTCGCAGGCTCATTAAAGGCTGGACTAAGGTCAGATATGCCAATCTTGCTCTTATGAACATTTTAGATTCGGCTTTTCATTCAAACATTAGGTTTGCCCTTCTCTACTCTAGATCTGTTTTCTATGTTGTTTAAAGAACTTTCAAAACAGAGAAACATGCAAAGGTGAATAATGAAGCTCTGGCTTCTGAACGACTATCACCTGCTTCTCCATCCTCTTCTTCTCCCGGAAGGCTGCAGCACGTGCCTTTTTCTCTTCCTCAGCTTGCTTTCTCATCTCCTCCTCCTGGGCCTCCAGCAGTGCCTACAACAGTAACATGTACAACACAGTAGCCCCTAGAGCAACAGTAACATGTACAACACAGTAGCCCCTAGAGCAACAGTAATATGTACAACACAGTAGCCCCTAGAGCAACAGTACAATGTACAACACAGTAGCCCATAGAGCAACAGTACAATGTACAACACAGTAGCCCATAGAGCAACAGTACAATGTACAACACAGTAGCCCATAGAGCAACAGTACAATGTACAACACAGTAGCCCCTAGAGCAACAGTACAATGTACAACACAGTAGCCCATAGAGCAACAGTACAATGTACAACACAATAGCCCCTAGAGCAACAGTACAATGTACAACACAGTAGCCCATAGAGCAACAGTACAATGTACAACACAATAGGAGCAACAGTACAATGTACAACACAGTAGCCCATAAACAGTACAATGTACAACACAATAGCCCATAGAGCAACAGTACAATGTACAACACAGTAGCCCCTAGAGCAACAGTACAATGTACAACACAGTAGCCCATAGAGCAACAGTGCAGCAACAGTACAATGTACAATGTACAACACAGTAGCCCATAGAGCAACAGTACAATGTACAACACAATAGCCCATAGAGCAACAGTACAATGTACAACACAGTAGCCCAGTACAATGTACAACACAATAGCCCCTAGAGCAACAGTACAATGTACAAACACAGTAGCCCATAGAGCAACAGTGCAGTACAATGTACAACACAGTAGCCCATAGAGCAACAGTACAATGTACAACACAGTAGCCCATAGCCCAATGTACAACACAGTAGCCCCTTACAATGTACAACACAATAGCAACAGTACAATGTACAACACAGTAGCCCATAGCAACAGTACAATGTACAACACAACAGCCCATAGAGCAACAGTACAATGTACAACACAGTAGCCCCTAGAGCAACAGTACAATGTACAACACAGTAGCCCATAGAGCAACAGTACAATGTACAACACAGTAGCCCCTAGGGCATCAGTAATGTACAACACAGTAGCCCCTAGAGCAACAGTAACATGTACCACAGTAGCCCCTAGAGCATCAGTCACATGTACAACACAGTAGCACCTAGAGCAACAGTAATATGTACAACACAGTAGCCCCTAAAGAACCAGTAACATGTACAACACAGTAGCCCCTAGAGCAACAGTAATATGTACAACACAGTAGCCCCTAGAGCAACAGTAATATGTACAACACAGTAGCCCCTAGAGAAACAGTCACATTTCCAGCACAGTAGCCCCCAGAGCAACAGTACAATGTACAACACAGTAGCCCCCAGAGCAACAGTACAATGTACAACACAGTAGCCCCTAGAGCATAAGTAACGTACAACACAGTAGCCCCTAGAGCAGTGAGTGAGTGAGTTACAATATTATGTGACAAGGAATATATTTCAGCCATATTGTGACGAGAAATTGAATATAGACACTAAATATAGCATGAATATGAAGTCTGTCATTGATGGACAATACAGTAACTAGAATTTTTAAAACTAGCTCATAACAGTTACAAGAAAACATTATAATTAATCAACAAGAAAAAATACAAATTGGCTATCGATCGCCAGTAATTAACGGAAGATCACCCTACTATTGACCATGGGTACTTACAGTACTTAAGCTATCTGCAGGGACCCTAATTAGATTTATCCCATCGATTCAGTCACTGGTGACAACTGATGAGTTCAGCAATATTTAAAATAATAAACATGCTGCATTTAAAAGTCTGGCAAGCATCCAAATGCTTCAAATGATGTGGAACTTACAAACCCTCTAAGGGGGACAATCCGTGGAGTTCCAGGTTTGAATTGGTATTCAGTAACCCATGATTGTCGTAAGAGGCAACTAACAGGATCGGGTGGTCAGGCTTGCTGACTTGGTGGACATATGTCATCGTATCCCAAATGCATTGAACAATGCTCATGATGTTGATCACTGGATTGTCTGGTCCAGATTTGATTATTTACACACCACCGCAATATGGCTGGAATCTTGCTGAGTGCGATAGCACAGAAAAGAAATCAAAGACAGTCACAGAACTATCCTTCTGAGGTCCAGGTTATCCACCCACTCCCCGCCAGTACATGACAAGTGAGCTCACCAGTCTGTCCTCCTCCTCCTTCTTCCTCTTGGCTTCTCTGTCAGCCTTCAGCTTCTTCCTCTCTTCTGCCCGGTCCTCCATGTCTGCAACACACACACTCTCAACAAGGGAGCTACTCGACACTGATGTGCATTACACATATGTGAAGTAAGATAAAACAGCATTATCACTTTTAAAACACACATAGTACTATCGGTAACCACTGGTAACGACCTCACAACTTGGATACCAGACACTCATGGTACCATTGGTAACCACTGGTAACGACCTGGCAACCTGGATACCAGACACTCATGGCACCATTGGTAACCACTGGTAACAACCTGGCAACCTGGATACCAGACTCTCATGGCACCATTGGTAACCACTGGTAACGACCTGGCAACCTGGATACCAGACACTCATGGTACCATCGGTAACCTCTGGTAACGACCTGGCAACCTGGATACGAGACTCATGGTACCATTGGTAACCACTGGTAATGACCTGGCAACCTGGATACCAGACACTCATGGTACCATCGGTAACCTTTGGTAACGACCTGGCAACCTGGATACCAGACACTCATTTTACCATAGGTAACCACTGGTAATGACCTGGCAACCAGGATACGAGACACTCATGGTACCATTGGTAACCAATGGTAATGACCTGGCAACCTGAATACCAGACGCTCATGGCACCATTGGTAACCACTGGTAATGACCTGGCAACCTGGATACCAGACACTCATGGTACCATCGGTAACCACTGGTAATGACCTGGCAACCTGGATACCAGACACTCATGTTACCATTGGTAACCACTGGTAATGACCTGGCAACCAGGATACGAGACACTCATGGTACCATTGGTAACCACTGGTAATGACCTGGCAACCTGGATACCAGACACTCATGGTACCATCTGTAACCTCTGGTAACGACCTGGCAACCTGGATACCAGACACTCATGGTACCATCGGTAACCACTGGTAATGACCTGGAAACCTGGATACCAGGTAACCAATGGTAATGACCTGGCAACCTGGATACCAGACACTCATGGTACCATCGGTGACCACTGGTAATGACCTGGCAACCTGGATACCAGGCACTCATGGTACCATCGGTAACCACTGGTAATGACCTGGCAACCTGGATACCAGACACTCATGGTACCATTGGTAACCACTGGTAATGACCTGGCAACCTGGATACCAGACGCTCATGGCACCATTGGTAACCACTGGTAATGACCTGGCAACCTGGATACCAGACACTCATGGTACCATCTGTAACCTCTGGTAACGACCTGGCAACCTGGATACGAGACTCATGGTACCATTGGTAACCACTGGTAATGACCTGGAAACCTGGATACCAGACACTCAAGGTACAATCGGTAAGCTTTGGTAAAGACCTGGCAACCTGGATACGAGACACTCATGTTACCATAGGTAACCACTGGTAATGACCTGGCAACCAGGATACCAGACACTCATGGTACCATTGGTAACATCTGGTAATGACCTGGCAACCTGGATACCAGACGCTCATGGCACCATTGGTAACATCTGGTAACGACCTGGCAACCTGGATACCAGACGCTCATGGTACCATCGGTAACATCTGGTAACGACCTGGCAACCTGGATACCAGACACTCATGGTACCATTGGTAACAGACACATGCTGCACTACTGTTTGTAGTTCCTCCAGCTCTGCCACTCATGCGACACATACCACTCATGCGTCACATACCACTCATGCTTCACATACCACTCATGCGTCACATACCACTCATGCGTCACATACCACTCATGCTTCACATACCACTCATGCTTCACATACCACTCATGCTTCACATACCACTAACCAAAAGAGACTGACACACACAGCCTGAGTCTGAAAGTAGCCTGGGTCTGTTGGTCCAAGACTTTAGGATGCATCCAGCCTTACATATACCTTGGCTTGTTTGCCTGCTTTTTTCAGAAAGTGCACCCACACCTATCTAACCAAGGGCCAACATGTTTTAGATATATTAACATACTTATGACTTCACTGAATGACTTCTTACATACAATAAATCTGCATTTGAATACAGACTTTTATGTTTGGCTGAACATGGGGTCTGATCACTCTGACTCCGTTGTACCTACTTTTGAGCACTTGGAGATACTTGGTGTTGGTGGTCGTGTTCGACGTGGATGTCCGGTCAGACTTGAGACCGCTCACACCAGTCCTACACAGGTAAAATCACTCACAGTCAACACAATACTCAAGTTCAAATCAACTAAGTACAGAAACAAATACTTTCATCACTAAACATAATGCCCCTTACCTCAAACTAAGTGAAATCACAGTAAATGGGACTGAGATGACTACTTTAGTTTAAGAAGATATCCAATGTAATAAAATAGACTGATATTTTTAAAACAAATCATTGCAAGTATCAGAATTATTGCTGTAAATTGCTGCCTTTGTTTATCACGAAAGATACTTTATCTTGACCGAGTTAGTAATGCTGCGCTGGCACCAGACTAGGCAGCACCTGAAGTGATACAGCTTCTCACTGACAGCAATGTGATTTGCCTCAAGGTCTGACTGATGAAGGGAGGTAACTCTAATTCTTCTCTGAACAGCAACGTCTTTCAATGTACAGTGGAATCTGCCTAACCAGACTTAGTGGAAATGTGACTGAAGTTATGTATGGGACACATAGTCACAGTACGTTGTCCAAGTTCACTGCACGTTGCTGTACCCGCAACTAGGTGTTTGCACGTATTCTTGTGGCCACCATCTGGTCATATACCAATGGATTTGTGGGTTCGTTTAAGTGCACAGGGTTGTGTACTGTACACATGGGGTTGTGACAACACTGAAAGAGTCTGCACACAAAGTTGACCCCAAGGTTTTTACACCCGGTCACAGGTGGGCTCGATCCCGACACCTCAACCTCGCTGGATCACTAGCCTGGCACCTTAGCCAGCTCGCCCACTGCAAAAATCTACGTGCATCCATCATTTCCAAGCCAAAAGTGCCTATCAGAGTAGTTAGTTATTATTGCTGGATTGAAAGTGATTTTACAAGAGACACATGGCATTAGTGATCATTTTATAGGTATTGTTTCCTTGCAATTACAAAATGGGCAAACAAATCTCTGTTTTCGATGATAAATGAGAAAATATGCTGATTGGAAACCTTGGCTAAGAGGAGTTCAGTGAAGAATAAATGCCTGCAACCGATTAGTGGCTTACCTGGCCGTTACAGTAGTGTGTCCTGTGGAATCAGTTCTGGCAGTTTCCATGACAACATTTGTAGCCTTCTCCTTGGTAACATTATTTTGCTGCTGAGACACATCTGTCTGTGGTTGGCTATTCTCAGACAAATTATTCATTAGCTGCAGTCCAGTCCCAGTTGGCTGGTCACACATGGGAGATAACCCTTGCTTAGTAAGAAGCTGTTGTATCAGTTGTTGCCTGGCAACCTCCTCTAGATGCAACTGTTGTTTCTGCTTGAACTGCAACTCTTCAATCATGCGATGTTGTTCCCTTAGCTGCTTATGTTGATCATGCAACATCTTTTGCTGAGATGTGTATCGATGTTCAAAATTATTTACAACAAAATGTGTATTCATCCATGGCTGTTTGCCAAACCGACGTCTAATTTTGGTGTCAGTATGTTGTGAGTTCTGCTCCATGTCCCCACCAGCTAGAGAGGCAATCTCTTCATTTGTCAGGTTGACATGACGTCTTGTCACCTGCCATGCTTGGGTGGGTAGCCTGTTCGGGCGAGACTTGGTACTGGTCAGTGAAGAGTCACTTCTGGTGGATGCAGGGCCAGCTTGTGTAGAACCTTGTTGGTCTCGGGTCGGTTGTTCGAAGAAGTCCTCCTGTCATTAGGAAATGAGTGATATTTATGAATGGGGACTGACATTTTCATGATGACAAGAGAGAAATACTTCTCGCAATGCACTAACTCTCATACATACCAATAAATGGTGCATGTTTTTGTTGGACGCAGTGACGGGAAAGTGGAAGGGAGGTATCCCAACTGGGTGAGTGATTTTACGTTTGCTTCAGGGAGCAAAGGGATTCAATTGTCTATGTACCGTTCGAAGGAAAAGGGATATAAGCATATAGCATGAGTCAGGTTAAGGAAAAATAAAGAAATCTTTAATCCACACCCTGACACAATACACTTTTTGTTTCTGCGATGAGATACATTCGAATCACTGACAAACCAACCCTTCCTGGCACAGAGAGGGTCACGTAATCAGCTCAAGGAAGACGGAGAGACAAGTTGGAGAGACAGGTGCCAATGTATCTGCAACACCCAAGCCTGTCACTCTATCTGAGTACTGGTCCAATGACATGAAGAGCATGCACAGTCCCCAACAGTAATGAAAACTACAAACCAGATCCTCCACCACCATTGCTGAGTTGCCACCACCATCTTTCTTCCTCCCTGAATCCCCAGCATTCTTCCTGCTGTCCTCCTCTTCTCTCTCACTCCACAACTTGCCGGTTGCCGCGGCGTCCAGCAGCGCCATCATCTTGCTACGCGTGTTGTTCTGCTCCTCCAGGAGATGGTATCGGTCCCTCTCGGCCTGCATATAGGTCTGCCATGCTGTCAGGCAGCGGCGCAGCAAGACGTAGCGGTGATGCTGCTCTGCCAACTGCTGCTTCCTGAAAATATACAAGTTAGGGTAACAACTCTGTACAGTCACCTCATGACCTGATTACTGTACAGTCACCTCATGACCTGATTAGTTTCTGTACAGTCACCTCATGACCTGATTACTGTACAGTCACCTCATGACCTGATTACTGTACAGTCACCTCATGACCTGATTACAGTAGTCAACTCTTGACCTGATTACTGTACAGTCAACTCATGACCTGATTACTGTAGTCAACTCTTGACCTGATTACTGTAGTCAACTTTTGACCTGATTACCGTACAGTCAACTCTTGACCTGATTACTGTACGTCCACTCTTGACCTGATTACTGTACAGTCACCTCATGACCTGATTACAGTAGTCAACTCTTGACCTGATTACTGTAGTCAACTCATGACCTGATTACTGTAGTCAACTCTTGACCTGATTACTGTACAGTCAACTCTTGACCTGATTACTGTACAGTCAACTCTTGACCTGATTACTGTACAGTCAACTTTTGACCTGATTACTGTACACCCAATTCTTGACCTGATTACTGTACAGTCAACACTTGACCTGATTATTGTACAGTCAACACTTGACCTGATTACAGTAGTCAACTCTTGACCTGATTACTGTACAGTCACCTCATGACCTGATTACTGTAGTCAACTCTTGACCTGATTACTGTAGTCAACTTTTGACCTGATTACTGTACAGTCAACTCATGACCTGATTACTGTAGTCAACTCTTGACCTGATTACTGTAGTCAACTTTTGACCTGATTACCGTACAGTCAACTCTTGACCTGATTACTGTACAGTCAACTCTTGACCTGATTACAGTACGGTCAACTCTTGACCTGATTACTGTACAGTCACCTCATGACCTGATTACAGTAGTCAACTCTTGACCTGATTACTGTACAGTCAACTCATGACCTGATTACTGTAGTCAACTCTTGACCTGATTACTGTACAGTCAACTCTTGACCTGATTACTGTACAGTCAACTCTTGACCTGATTACTGAACGGTCAACTTTTGACCTGATTACTGTACACCCAATTCTTGACCTGATTACTGAACAGTCAACTCTTGACCTGATTATTGTACAGTCAACACTTGACCTGATTACAGTAGTCAACTCTTGACCTGATTACTGTACAGTCACCTCATGACCTGATTACTGTAGTCAACTATTGACCTGATTACTGTAGTCAACTCTTGACCTGATTACTGTACAGTCAACTCTTGACCTGATTACTGTACAGTCACCTCATGACCTGATTACTGTACAGCCAATTCTTGACCTGATTACTGTACAGTCAACTCTTGACCTGATTACTGTACAGTCAACACTTGACCTGATTACAGTAGTCAACTCTTGACCTGATTACTGTACAGTCAACTCATGACCTGATTACTGTAGTCAACTTTTGACCTGATTACTGTAGTCAACTCATGACCTGATTACTGTAGTCAACTCTTGACCTGATTACTGTACAGTCAACTCTTGACCTGATTACTGTACACTCAACTCTTGACCTGATTACTGTATGGTCAACTTTTGACCTGATTACTGTACGGTCAACTCTTGACCTGATTACTGTACGGTCAACTCTTGACCTGATTACTGTACGGTCAACTCATGACCTGATTACTGTAGTCAACTTTTGACCTGATTACTGTAGTCAACTTTTGACCTGATTACTGTACACTCAACTCTTGACCTGATTACTGTACGGTCAACTTTTGACCTGATTACTGTACAGTCAACTCTTGACCTGATTACTGTACGGTCAACTCTTGACCTGATTACTGTACAGTCAACTCTTGACCTGATTACTGTACGGTCAACTCTTGACCTGATTACTGTACAGTCACCTCATGACCTGATTACAGTAGTCAACTCTTGACCTGATTACTGTACAGTCAACTCATGACCTGATTACTGTAGTCAACTCTTGACCTGATTACTGTACAGTCAACTCTTGACCTGATTACTGTACGGTCAACTCTTGACCTGATTACTGTACAGTCACCTCATGACCTGATTACAGTAGTCAACTCTTGACCTGATTACTGTACAGTCAACTCATGACCTGATTACTGTAGTCAACTCTTGACCTGATTACTGTACAGTCAACTCTTGACCTGATTACTGTACACTCAACTCTTGACCTGATTACTGTACGGTCAACTTTTGACCTGATTACTGTACGGCCAATTCTTGACCTGATTACTGTACGGTCAACTCTTGACCTGATTACTGTACGGCCAATTCTTGACCTGATTACTGTACAGCCAACTCTTGACCTGATTACTGTACGGTCAACTCTTGAACTGATTACTGTACAGTCAACTCTTGAACTGATTACTGTACGGTCAACTCTTGACCTGATTACTGTACGGTCAACTCTTGACCTGATTACTGTACGGTCAACTCTAGACCTGATTACTGTAGTCAACTCTTGACCTGATTACTGTACAGTCAACTCTTGAACTGATTACTGTAGTCAACTCTTGAACTGATTACTGTACAGTCAACTCTTGACCTGATTACTGTACAGTCAACTCTTGACCTGATTACTGTACAGTCAACTCTTGACCTGATTACTGTACAGTCAACTCTTGAACTGATTACTGTACAGTCAACTCTTGAACTGATTACTGTACAGTCAACTCTTGACCTGATTACTGTACAGTCAACTCTTGAACTGATTACTGTACGGTCAAGTCTTGACCTGATCAATGGCAATCAACTGCTGGAGCTACCTACATCAGCTGACTGCATTCGGTGTGCTGGCTGAGCCAGGAGCAGACACCAGTGCACTTCAGAACACAGCACCTACTGAGTACATCAACATTCGATAGGACGGGAAACTCACAAAGATTCATGTTCAATGATGTACTTACCTATGCATATCCAGCACCGTCTGTTCATATTGCCTTGTCTCGACATCCAGGCGTCGCGTGCGAGAGTATGACCGCCAGGCGTTCCAGACTCGGAGCAGCAGCTTCCAGTCTGCCAGGGCCCTTGCCTTCCCAGTCTGCAGACGTCGGTCCAGCACCACCTTGTACCAGGCTGAGAAGTGGCGCTGCAGGCACTGGGGAGACAGGTGAAGGCCACAATCACATCACCAACTCTTGGTGTGAAGACCTGACAAACCATCTCTGGAAGGTTGCCGTAGTATAATGAATATGAACAACAAACATCATGAGATTTGTGATTATTCTATCATTTAAACAGGATGATGTTACACAGTATGTTGCTTCCGTCAACACTACTGCCATCACCTGACATTCCCAGTCCAATATATGATACAACACCCATAACTACTGGCAAACAATGGTACACAGTCCCTATGATCTTCACGTACAGTTTGCAAGAAATGGAAGCAGGCAAAGATCAATAACTACTTCAAGAGAAATGACTTCTTCTTGTAACTATGCTACTATGAACAAACTGCTCACAGATTAGAGTGTGCAAACCCAGTAGGTTATAAAGTTGGGGATTCCACCTGTGTTACCTTAAGGTTTTTACCCGACTGTTTAATCTGGAACTTGTGGACTCTGTCGTACATCTTCCGTTGGTGCTCTTTCTTGGCCTGCTGCTGCTGCTGTTGCTGAAGTCGTTCCTGCTCTGTCTGTCTGCTCAGCTCCTCCCTCGCTTCCTGGTCCAGCTTCTCACGTGCTCGTCGCTCTCTGTAGCACATAGCGCACATCAGTGACTTGTTGGTCTTGCTGAGCACAATTCTAGTTCCTGCTCAGAAGAATCTCATGCGACAACTTCCTTTAGCATTTACCATATTGCAACATGCCATAAGCAAGTCAGACTTAGATGATTTTGTGAAAAAATTTACAAATCATCTTCACAAATGATTCTATGAAGCCAATATTACACCCTATTATACAAAACTAAATCATGGCTTTCAAAATTTAGTCGGTTCAGCACTTGCTTCTGAAAATTCATCATATGGGCGTTTGGAGAACTTTCAAACTAACACATTCCATTTAAATCATAGTGATGACATGTTGTACAACTGTAAAGATTGTCACCTGTCTCTCTGCTCCTGCTGCTTGTGACTCTCCTCCTGCATCTCCTTCCTGATGCGACCCATCACCTTCTTCAGCTCCTGCTCCTCTCTCCTCGCCTTCAGATCCCGGTCTCGCTCCTCCTGCACAACAGTGCACAACTCAGTATTTCTCCCTGTCTAGCTCCACCCACTCCCTGTATCATCATCTGTCTAGCTCCACCAACACCCACACCAGCACCCGCTCCCAGTATCATCATCTGTCAAGCTCCCCCCTCTCCCTGTATCATCATCTGTCAAGCTCCACCAACACCCACACCAGCACCCACTCCCAGTATCATCATCTGTCTAGCTCCCCCCTCTCCCTGTATCATCATCTGTCAAGCTCCATCCACTCCCACACCAGCACCCATTCTCTGTATCATCATCTGTCTAGCTCCACCCACTCCCACACCAGCACCCATTCTGTGTATCATCACCTGTCTAGCTCCACCCTCTCCCTGTATCATCATCTGTCTAGCTCCACCCACTCCCACACCAGCACCCATTCTGTGTATCATCACCTGTCTAGATCCACCCACTCCCACACCAGCACCCATTCTCTGTATCATCATTTGTCTAGCTCCTCCCTCTCCCTGTATCATCATCTGTCTAGCTCCACCCACTCCCACACCAGCACCCATTCTCTGTATCATCACCTGTCTAGCTCCACCCTCTCCCTGTATCATCATCTGTCTAGCTCCACCCACTCCCTGTATCATCATCTGTCTAGCTCCACCCACTCCCACACCAGCACCCATTCTCTGTATTATCATCTGTCTAGCTCCACCCTCTCCCTGTATCATCATCTGTCTAGCTCCACCCACTCCCACACCAGCACCCATTCTCTGTATCATCACCTGTCTAGCTCCACCCTCTCCCTGTATCATCACCTGTCTAGCTCCACCCTCTCCCTGTATCATCATCTGTCTAGCTCCACCCACTCCCACACCAGCACCCATTCTCTGTATCATCATCTGTCCAGCTCCACCCTCTCCCTGTATCATCACCTGTCTAGCTCCACCCACTCCAACACCAGCACCCATTCTCTGTATCATCATCTGTCTAGCTCCACTCCCTGTATCATCATCTGTCCAGCTCCACCCTCTCCATGTATCATCACCTGTCTAGCTCCACCCACTCTATGTATCAACATCTGTCTAGGCCCACCCACTCCCCGTATCATCACCATCTCTCTGGCAGCACCCACTGACCTGGATAACCATCTGCTTGGCCTTATGGAATGAATCCTTTCTCTCCTGCTGTTCTCTTCGCTTCTGCTCCAGTTCACGCTCTCTCTTTTCACGGTTTTCCTTAACCTGACAATCAAAAAGAGACACTTGTTAAAAGTTACTAATTCTTTATAAATAAATGTGGGGATATGTCAAACATATTCCTCCATCTCAGGGGAAATATTTCACTATTTATTTCCAGATCGCAGCAGAGCTATGAACACCAGACATTGTCCATCACATCAAACCATTGATAACAGTGAGCAAACATTATGAGCTAAACAGACAAAGTGTAAAGCTTCTATTGTTTTGTGGTAGTAGGTACTCTTCTGACTAGTGATGGTCAAATATAATGCTTGTATAATGTTGATTGTAGAGGATTGACTGTTAGTGGTACATACTTGGGGTAAGTAGTTAAGAGTTACCTCCCTCCTGTTGTTCACATAGATGACACGCTTGAACGTATATGAGTGAGTGAGTTAGTGAGTTTGGTTTTACGCTGCTTTTAGCAATATTCCAGCTATATGGGGCGGTCTGTAAATAATTGAGTCTGGACCAGACAATCCAGTGATCAAAAGCATGAGCATCGATCTGCGCAAATGGGAACCGATGACATGTGTCAACCAAGTCAGCGAGCCTGACCACCCCGATCCCGTTAGTCCCCTCTTACGACAAGCATGGGTTACTGAAGGTTCATTCTAACCCGGACCTTCAAGGGTCTGGTCCATTTCAGGAGACTTGACAGTGACTACATTCAAGGTGTTTCTGAGTGAGTGAGTTTAGTTTTACGTCGCCTTTAGCAATATTCCAGCAATATCACAGCGGGGGACACCAGAAATGGGCTTCACATATTGTACCCATGTGGGGGAATCAAACCCAGATCTTTGGCATGACGAGCCAAAGCTTTAACCACTAGGCTACCCCACTGCCCAAGGTATTTGTGAGTTCACTGGGTTTGTTACTGACATCTGTTCCTTGACCCATTCTATGGCATGTTAATGTTCGTAACAATGGAGTTGATTACACTTCAATCACCATGTAACAATTATCAATGTCGTAGATTACCCAAACCTGAAAGTGTGATTTTGTCAATCAGACACACCTGTTTGTGTCGGAGTTCCATCTTTATCCTAGGATCGTGCTTCTTCTTCTTCCCCTCCTCAAGGCCAAGGTCGTTAAGGAAGTCCTCCCTCACCACCGGTTTCTGCATCATGTTGCTCAGGATCATCCCCACAGCATCCTCGTCATCAGAGTAGTTCAGGGTGGAGTAGGGGTCTGTGACCACAGCAAGAGATAAGCAGTGAGGGTGGTGTGTCCCATATATCCTGTTTTAGTGCACCATTACTCTAGGAGGGAGTTGCCAGTGCAACAGACTAACCCTTACAAGGTAGGAGACTGAACTCATATAATTAGGATTAGGCCAGACCAATTTTATTTCTTGTTTTACGGATCCGCCGGTCATACTTTTTCAAGAATAAGAAAAAACATGAAAGTTAATTTTCCCTGCTCAAAAAATACAATCCTAATGTTTTGGGGTTTTTATTGGTCAAGAATGTTAATTTACAAGAAAAGGTTTGTTTTAGATTGCGTTTTGCCCCATATACACTTTACAAATTGCCAAAATTAAAATACTTTTAGGATTATTTTTTTTCTCTCTCTCTTGCCTTTAAGGGTATTTTGAGTACAAAAATCTGTAAAACAAGAAATAAAATTGGTCTGGCCATAAATAATATAATCACTTTAGTCCATGATGTATAGTATACCCTTGGTTATACTGCCACTGTTTGTCCCGGAGAAAATATGGCATTATATCCATGCTGGCATTATAACCAGGTAGGACAGTTAGAGGCCCTGCGCAATCAACAAGGTGATTGAGCTGATGTCTCATGTAATGAGCCTTCAATGACTGGATAATTCCAGTGTCTAGGGGCTGCAGGTGACTTGTTGTAGGTGACAGGAAGTGTATTGTCACATGTGTTATCCCATCTGGGATTACCTGACTACTTAAAGCATTAATGAGAAGGAAAACCAAGTTCTATGGATAGTCAACTTCTTTATTGCAATGAGTGTGACATTTCGACGTCGGTACTAACACCGTTATCAAGCATACAAAGTCGTAGGCCTTTTCACCAGTGTTCCCTGAGATGAAGCCCTCGCCATCATTCCAAAAAGACTCCAAGACCTCCACCCCGACCTAGACACCCATCTCAGCATCGACAGTATAATCCACTCCGACCTAGACACCCACCTCAGAATTGACAGTATAATCCACCCCGACCTACACACCCATCTCAGCATCGACAGTATAATCCACCCCGACCTAGACACCCATCTCAGCATCGACAGTATAATCCACCCCGACCTAGACACCCATCTCAGCATCGACAGTATAATCCCCCCAACCTAGACACCCATCTCAGCATCGACAGTATAATCCACCCAACCTAGACACCCATCTCAGCATCGACAGTATAATCCACTCCGACCTAGACACCCATCTCAGCATCGACAGTATAATCCACCCCGACCTAGACACCAATCTCAGCATCAACAGTATAATCCACCCCGACCTAGACACCCATCTCAGCATCGACAGTATAATCCACCCGACCTAGACACCCATCTCAGCATCGACAGTATAGTCCACCCCGACCTAGACACCAATCTCAGCATCGACAGTATAATCCACCCCGACCTAGACACCCATCTCAGCATCGACAGTATAATCCACCTTGACCTAGACACCAATCTCAGCATCGACAGTATAATCCCTCCCTACTTAGACACCCATCTCAGCATCGACAGTATAATCCATAACTTAGACACCCATCCAGCATCTTAGACACCTAGACACCCATCTCAGCATCGACAGTATAATCCCCCACCCCTAGACACCCATCTCAGCATCGACAGTATAATCCACCCGACCTAGACACCCATCTCAGCATCGACAGTATAATCCCCCAACCTAGACACCCATCTCAGCATCGACAGTATAATCCCCCAACCTAGACACCCATCTCAGCATCGACAGTATAATCCACTCCGACCTAGACACCCATCTCAGCATCGACAGTATAATCCACCCCGACCTAGACACCAATCTCAGCATCGACAGTATAATCCACCCCGACCTAGACACCAATCTCAGCATCGACAGTATAATCCACCCCGACCTAGACACCCATCTCAGCATCGACAGTATAGTCCACCCCGACCTAGACACCAATCTCAGCATCGACAGTATAATCCACCCCGACCTAGACACCCATCTCAGCATCGACAGTATAATCCACCCTGACCTAGACACCAATCTCAGCATCGACAGTATAATCCCTCCCGACTTAGACACCCATCTCAGCATCGACAGTATAATCCACCCCGACTTAGACACCCATCTCAGCATCAACAGTATAATCCCCCCCAACCTAGACACCCATCTCAGCATCGACAGTATAATCCACCTCATCAACTCTTGCATCATGCCTGATAATGTCACACTCATTGCAATAAAGAATTTGACTATCCATAGAACTTGGTTTTCCATAATCTTTACAACTTCTAAAATGCCTCTCAAAGAAGCATTAATGAGTTTGGTCAATTATGTTGAGTCATGACAATTAACCAATTAAGGCGAGTATACGCCTTAAAACCAGGGTAATTGGAATTGTAACCAGGGTAAATGACTTTTGTTCCAAAAACCATTGGCAAATGGCATTATATCCAGTTTGGCATTACAACCAGGGTATTATAAGAACAGGAAATCCATTCAGGCAAACACATGGCATTTTATCTAGGGTGGTATAATAACCAGGGTGCACTGAAGTTAAATACAGAGCATTTTCTCTATTTGAAGAACATCTCAAATAGCAAAAAGTATCTGAACAAAACAAAGTTCTCTCTGACTCTAACCTGAAATATGGAATGGGGTGTCAGGCCAATCACCAAGTTGACCCATCATTCCTCTCAATTTCTATCTCATTTCTTTCAGTGACTCTTCTCAGTTTCTCATATAAAGCATTTTGTTGGTAAAGGTTATTTGTTTCAGCATCAAATAAAGTCACTTTTATTGTAAAACCATGCATAATTTTTGCCATGATTATTAAAACTTATCCTATCTCACGACTTGCACTTATCCCACGGTGGATGGCGGGATGCAGATTACCCTGTGTCTCGACAGCTCAAACAGACAAACTGTGTAGACTGAAAGCAACTGTAAATAGCAATGCACAAGGGATGCCTGTTACGACACATGCAGCTCCTATGCTCATGATGGGTTCTCCTGAACCCCTTGGCTTACTAAGCACAACGTCTCCCAGGGAGATGGGTGCTCCCAAGTGATGTGGTATTCAGCCGCAACCTTCGTACTAAGGACGAAAGGACCCAACTTAGCAAGTAACCTCAATTCGCCGCAAATACACGGTACCCCCTTAATGTAAGATTTTTCGACCAATAAACGGGCCAGCCCCATCATGTAGAGGGGGAAAAGAAGACTGAATCGGAAAGCTCACAAGTTTTAACGTTCAGTTCCGAAACATCATCAAATTTACTCTCACTCCTTTACATAAGCTTAGTCAAAGGATGTGCTCGGCAACTTAGGAGCAAATGCAACGAAATCAGGAATGACACTGTACTGACCTAATTTCTCCGTGGAGTAGAGGTCAGTAAGCATGAACAATGAACACTTCCACATCGCGATACAAGACTTTGCCTCTGAGTCTATCAAGTCACAACTTGGTGACAGTATCCCAATGCCTTAGTAATGACACCAAGTGAAGGCTTTCTAAACCCATTAAACAGAGAACAAAAGATTAACATAAGTTTACATATTTATTCAGTAAATACAAGGAATCAGTAAAACTGTACACGGAACCGTCCCTCATCTGTGTTGGTGGGCCGATGTCAGCAGCCAAGCCAGTACGAGGGGTCCAAACTGGTGTATCAGAACGCCAAAAGCAACCTTCCATGATCGAGGTCAAGGAGCAATATATGAGTCTCATGAGGATTGGAAGTGGCAATCAAGATTGGAGCGTAGGCAAGCAAGAATGACAGTGTAGTTCGGGAAACGTCAGCTCTAGGAGCAGTCGACAACGGTATGAAGAGGCACATCAGTAGCCGTCGACGATCCTTGGTGGCAGCACGAAATATGTGTAGTGCCCTAATAGGGCAGAGTGACAAGTCTTAGGTTATCATCAGGCCTAAGGATGGGGGACAGCGTGGGAATGGTAAACATTCGGTCCCGTTGCCTTGGCAGCTGGTTTTTAGCGATGAAGTCCCAGCGGAGACCCAGTAAAACTTTGCCATGTTTCTTCCACATGAACCTCACACGATTGACATCCATCGCAATAAGCTCTGTGATATGAGCAGCAGTAGCCAAGGCTACCAGGAAGAAAGTTTTGAAAGTCACAGAGGCTCATAATCTCTAGAGACAAGATGACGAAGGACAACAGAGAGGTCCCAGGTCAACAGGTGCCGGAGCTCGGGAACAGTGGACATTTTAGTATCCGTAGTAATAGCCAAAACCGAATTGATAGCCGCCTGATAGATGGCTAAAGTAGTACCCTTGACTTTCTTGTTTGCCCGAAGGTGTTGCAGGAACACAGTGACAACCTGAGCAGAAGTGGAGGTGGTCGATGGAATGTCCCTAGCCTTACAATAACTATCAATCTTCTTCCATTTATCATCATAAAGCAAATGAGTCGACGTACGCTGAGCTGAAGTGATAGCTGAAGTTACTCAGAGAGAATAGCCCTTAGCTATAAGTGACTTCTGGAGATGCGCCAAACATGCAGATGAAGGGCCGCAGGTGTGAGTGAAGATGAAGAAGCAGGTCGTCCCGGTGTAACAGGCCAAACTTTCCCCCTGGCCAAACCTTCCCCGGGGAAACTTTGGCCTAGGACAAAGTTTCCTCGGGGAAACTTTAGCCTAGGCTAGACTTTCCCCCCATAGGCTTAATCTTCCACAGGGAAAGTTTGTCCTAGGCCAAACTTACCCCACCCTTGAATCAATTTTAAAGGCTACTTGTTTCCCATCCTTGTTCTTATATCAAAAGGGGGAGATTCTGGCCTAGCTAGGCTATTTCTTCCCCAACCTTGTTTTCATGTTTATGTTCGTCTTGAAAATGTCAGAAATGAAAACAAGACATAGCTATAAAGGTGAACACATTGATAAAATATTCATGTTGATGTCAAGTTCCATTAACAATTTACAGGTGATCTTCATCTTCATATATAACATGTACATGGTTCCCATTTTGTTTCAATACCCTTCTATAA